CACCTGCAGAATGGAACATCAGGCGCTGAGACGGACGGGATTTGTAAGTCAGCAAATCGGGTCAGGGAGCTTGGCAGAGCCAGACTGAAAGTGAAGTGGAGTTCTGGGCTGACTCCCCCAACGCTGGGAAGGCTGAGTGCTGCATGCTACTGCAGTTAAATGATTTCTTTTCCCCTCACACTTCACATATAATCAAGGAGCCAGCCTCACTGGGCTCAGCGTGCTGGATTTCAGTGCCTTGCTCCCATTCCGGTGGCCTGCAATGCCTACGGACAATATTTGAATACGAGTAAGCCGGGTTCAGAAGCATTTTTCTAATCTTTACCAGTATCATGGTGATGACTGTTACTGTCCCCGCTTCTCTGCCATGCCAACATGAATGCCAATGGCCTGACCTACCCCAGGACAAAGGATAAACGCTGACAGAAAATAGCCAGTGAACGTGAAAGGTTTTACACCCTTTCCTGGAAGGTTTAGGTCACTAAGCAGAACACTTATCACTGGGGACATTTCTAAGGCTGCATTCATAGCTGAATGTAATTCTTCCGTAGGCTCACTGCCAGTACATCATTGTGAAAAACTTCATAGATACCGTGGAGAAACTTACAAACGAGGCTGAAATCCAGAAGATTATGAAACACCTTTGTGACCTTTTTGCATTACATGGTATCTTCTCAAACACGGGAGATTTCCTGCATGATGGGTACATATCTGGGGACCAAATGGACTTGGTGACTGCATCCTACTTGGACCTACTCGCTGTCATTCGGTGAGCTACAAAAGTATTAATACATTGTACAGCAGCACCCCACCCCAAAAGGGGGACATGCTGTTAACTAATCATTGTTAAGGGTAGTTGTGTGTCATCATCACCAAGCCTGATGAGATGTCAGATGTACACAAGTCTTCCGTGCAAGCTTTATTTTGATAGCTATTACCAACACAAGCAAGACATTTTTAAAATACAGAGTGTGCCTCCCTAAACTGGGACTCTCTGGTCTGGCAAATTCCATGGTCCAGCAGCAGCACAGATGTTCCTGGACCACAGAGCCCAAGGACAGAGAGGTCTGGCAGTGGAGCAGGAGTGCAGCAGAGAGGCCAGGCAGTGTGGTGGGGAGCTCCGGCCATGGCAGCTGAAGGCTTGTGGTGGCCAGAGAGTTCCAGCTGGCAAGTGGCAGGAGGGCGAGGGCCCAAGGGCAGTGGGGTCGGAGGGCAGCAGGACAGAAGGAGCCAGCAGCAGCGAGGGGCAGCAGGATGGGGAGGTCAGTGGCAGGGGACATCCCCTGGTCTGGCAAATCCCATCCTTCAGGACTTGTTAGGTCTCCAGGGTGCCAGACCAGGGAGGTCAACCTGTACATAAGAACGGCCGTACTGGGTCAGACCAAAGGTCCATCTAGCCCAGTATCCTGTCTGCCAACAGTGGCCAGCACCAGGTGCCCCAGAGAGGGTGGACCGAAGACAATGATCAAGTGATTTGTCTCCTGCCATCCTTCTCCAGCCTCTGACAAACAGAGGCCAGGGACACCATTTTAACCCCTGGCTAATAGCCTTTTATGGACCTAACCTCCATGAAATTATCTAGCTTCTCTTTAAACTCTATTATAGTCCTAGCCTTCACAGCCTCCTCTGGCAAGGAGTTCCACAGGTTGACTACACGCTGAGTGAAGAAGAACTTTCTTTTATTAGTTTTAAACCTGCTACCCATTAATTGCATTTGGTGTCCTCTAGTTCTTCTATTTAAGGAACTAATAAATAACTTTTCTTTATCGGCCCTCTCCACACCACTCATGTACAATTTTAACCTAACTGTTGATTTAAATTACACTATTTAGAGAAAAACAAATTTAAACTAGAACGATAAATAGCAGCCAAGCAGAGTGCCTTGTAGCTTTTAAACATCCAGCAAGCCATGCTAGCCCTATATATGAAATAACTTTTGGCATATTGAATACTTTCTGCCATTTTACAAGATGTCTCAGTTGGTTTCAAAGTCACATTTGGTTATAATCAGAAAAGATTAAAAGGTTTTTCAGACATGACCTTTAAACAAAAAGGTAACCATGGAGTCATTTCTCAGATGATATAGTAAACTAATCCCTTACAGTGTTGAAAAAGCTGGTTTCACATCGGATTTATTTTTATGTAGATACTCTGTTTCATTGGGACTTTAAGTTGTTGACCCTGTGAGGTAATTTGGATTGCACAAAACCTACGTAATTGGACTACAAAATAGCAACTGAGGCAGCACACTTCCACTGGAATTTCACAGGCAGGATTCAAAAGCTAGCAAATCTAAACTGAATTTTCAAAAGATCCCAATCCCTGGAACTCATTATCAAAGATACTGCTGAGGTTAAGAGTTTAACAGAACTCAGGAGAGAAGTGCCCATTTCTATAAAATAATGAAAACATGCTGGAGTCAATACTTAACATTTAAAATGACAACAGCCAAGAGCTTGAAAGGGGCACAGATGCACCAGCTTCAGGACAAGACAACCTCATTGATAGGGGAAGTTCCTTCCAAGCTCCTAGGTGCAGGTCATTTCAGAACTATCTATGGCAGCATTTCATGCAGTCCTGGCTATTGTCAAAGGCCAAGATTCAGTAACATATTTCCAGTGTGCTGTCTCTGACCCTGATTCAGAAAAGCACTTAAGCATGTGCTTGTCTTTAAGCACCTGAGTAATCATTTCTAATGACCTGATTAAATATAAAAAACAGGACTATGTAGCACTTTAAAGACTAACAAGATGGTTTATTAGGTGATGAGCTTTCGTGGGCCAGACCCACTTCCTCAGATCACTTCCTTTTGATCTGAGGAAGTGGGTCTGGCCCACGAAAGCTCATCACCTAATAAACCATCTTGTTAGTCTTTAAAGTGCTACATAGTCCTGTTTTTTATATTTAATCAGGTCATTAGAAATGATTACTCAGGTGCTTAAAGACAAGCACATGCTTAAGTGCTTTTCTGAATCAGGGTCAGAGACAGCACACTGGACCAGATGAGCCATTGGTCTGATCCAGTACAGAATATTCTATATGCCTGTAATTAATTATGTTTATCTCAATCTACTACAAACTCTGAAAGAAGTCGTAGCATGTGTGGGAGATTTACAGTGACATTTTGAAACCAACATGGCATTTGACCCATTCTTAGTTCTTTCCTTATATGATGACATCATCCATGGCTTGCGGAGATCCTGTTTCTCTAAGTGGCTTTTTTTAACAAGTAAATATAATTTGGAGGCATATTACTGTAATTCCATTTTCATTTCCTCCATTTATTTTTTTTCTAAGGCACTAAAACCGGAACTTCATTCTGTGGGGAAATAAACATTGTCGTTTATTTGGTTAGTTTAAAAAATAAGTCTGAATCTATTTTTTAATTAGCATTATTGTTTGAAAACTTTAAGATTAAATCTATTTTACCAGTGGCAGCAACAGCAAGCATAATACCTGCATTTCTAATATGACTATGATGTGCATTTCACTAATGACAGCATCGCTGCTTTTCATACCACGGTGGCAGGGTGCAATTGCCAAGTGAAATACCATCCAAAAGAGAAACACCTCCTACTCCCACGGGCCAGCACAAGCTTGGGGACTGCTGAAGCCTCACATCAGCACACTGTATGGCACAAGCTGTAGGGCTTGATGATTAAGTGCATCACGGTTGCTTCAATCCAGAGTCAGGGACCGATCCACAGAGGTGCCAAGTGCCTTAAATTGCCATTGACCCTAATGGGAGAAGAGAAAGCTCAGCAGATTGGAAAACTGCCACTCACAAATGAATGTTTATTGGCCAATAATCTCTCTCAAAAACCAGGAACGCCACGTTTGAGCTTTTGCCAAAAACTCAAAAACGAATAGCAAAAGTAAGCAGGAAGCCTGCTAAACACCCCCTGGGGCCACTGGCCACTTGAGATGCTAAAAGAGCACTCAAGAGTGATAAGGCCGTTGCAGAGAAATTAAATGAATTCTCTGCATCAGTCTGCACAGCTAAGGACGCGAGGGAGAGTCACACATCTGAGCCATTCTTTTCAAACGACAAATCTGAGGAATTGCTCCAAATTGAGGTATCAGTAGAGGCGGTTTTGGAACAAATTGAGAAATTGAACAGCAATAAGTTGCCAGACCTGATGGCATTCACCCAAGAGTTCTCAAGGAACTGAAATTACAGAATTATTAACTGTGGTTTGTAAGCTAGCCTTTAAATTAGCTTGCGTGCCAAATGGCTGGAGGATAGCTAAGGTGGTGCCAATTTTTAAAAAGGGCTCCAGAGGTGATCCTTCCAATTACAAGTCAGTAAGTTTAACTTTAGTACCAGGCAAGCTGGTTGAAACTACAGTAAAGAAAAAAATTGTTAGACGCAGGGGCAGCCTGTGAGCCTAGGCAAACTAGGCAGTTGCCTAGAGCGCCACTGGCCTGGGCGCCCAATGACGACGTCACGGCCATTGATGGCCGTGCACGGGGGAGGGGGTGCCAATTGCACCGCCCGCCTGGGGCGCCAGCTGCCACAGCCGGCCTCAAACCACTCCTGGTTAGATGCGCAGATGAACATAATTTGTTGGGGAAGAGTATACATGGTTTTTGTAATGGGAAATCATGCCTCTCCAGTCTACTATAATTCTGAGAAGGGGACAACAAGCATGTGGACAAGGGGGACCCAGTGGATGTAATGAACTCAGGTTTTCAGAAAGACTTTGACAAGGTCTCTCACCAAAGGCTCTTAAGCAAAGCAAGTTGTCATAGGATATGAAAAAGGGTGGGTAATAAAACAGTGGCATTTTGCCAGGGTACGCTACAGTGGATCGCTGTTCCCGGCCAAAGGAAGCTGTGGGAAGTGGTGGTCTGTGGCCAACGGGATCTGCAATCACTTGTACCTGCAGAGGCATAGGAAAATATAGTGGTGACAGCCCACTAGGTGCTGACCCCAGCCAACCAGATTTGGCCTGCAGACCCGTATTTGCCCATTCCTGGATAAGAGAAAAGGTCCTCTCATGGATCGGTAACTAGTTAAGATAGGGTAGGAATAAATGGTCAGTTTTTAGAATGGAAAGAGGTAACAACTAGTATTCTCCAGGGCGCTCTACTGGGACCAATGCTATCAAATATTCATAAAAGATCTGGAAAAGGGATAATCAGTGAGGTGGCAAAATTTGTAGACAGTGTAAAACTGCTCAAGCTAGTTAAGCCGCAGCAGACTGCAAAGAGCTTCAAAGGGATCTCACAAAACTGGGTGAATGGCCAATAAAATGTCAGCTGAAATTCAGTGTTGATAAATTCAAAGTAATGGGATTATCTTTTCCAATATACAATTATACATACCAAATGATGTCTGAATTAACTCTTCCCACTCAAGAGAGAGATCCTGGAGTCAGTGTGGACAGTTCTCTGAAAACTCAACTCAATGAGCAGTGGCGATCAAAAAAGCAAACGGTGTTGGGAATCATTAAGAAAGGGATAGTTAAAATAGCATCTTGCCGCTGTGGAAATCCACGGCAGGTCCACATCTTGAATACTGCTTGCAAATGTGGTTGCCCCATCTGAAAGATTTGGAATTGGAAAAGGTTCAATAAAAACATTTAGGAGTATGGAACAGCTTCCATGAGGAGAGATTAACAACACTGGGCAGCTTGTAAAAGAGACAACTAAGGGAGGACATGCTAGAGGTCTCTAAAGTCATGATTGGTGTGGAGATAGTAAATGAGGAAAAGTTATTTACTCCCTTCCATAACACAAGAACCAGGGATCGCTACATTAAATTAATATCTGATTTAAAACAACCAAAAGGAAGCACTTCCTTCACACAGTGCAATGTCTTTGGCACTCCCTGCCAGAGGATGTTGTGAAGGCCAGGACTTTGACAGGCTTCAAGAAAGAACTAGAGAAATGAATTTGACAGGCTTCAAGAAAGAACTAGATAAATGAATGGGAGAATAGGTCCATCAATGGCTATTAGCCAGGATGGGAAGGGATGGTGTCCCTAGTTTCTGTTTGTCAGGATAGGCATGGGAATGGGTGACAGAAGATGGATCATTTGATGACTGCTTGTTCTGTTTATTCCCTCTGAGGCACCCTGCACTGGACACTATAGCTAGTCTACACTGCCGTTTTTGTTGGCAGTGAATATGCAAATAAGGCACATATTAGCATATTGCTGTGCCTCGTTTGCATAGTTTATGCACATCTTTTTTGTGCAAAGGGTTTTTGTGGGAAAAAAAGGAGTGTGGACAGGGGTTTTGCGCAAAAATGTTTTGGTGTGCATAAATTATGCAAATGAGGTGTGGCGATATCAGAATACAGGATAGCGGGCTAGATCAGTGTTTCTCACCAGTAGTACGCGTACCCTTGGGGGTACTTTAAAGACGTCTGAGGGGTACGTCAACAGAACTGAAATATGGAGAAAACTGAACTTTTGTTGTTTTACAGCGCTTTATTATTTTTGTACTTTTTACACCCAAAAATGTCATCACCTGTGCAGCTACGATTAAGTTGTTTAAACAAATGTGTTGCAATGGTAGAAAAAATGTTTGTGTGTCTGAAAACTGGAGGTACTTATAATTTTTTTTTTTAAAGTACCCCTTTAAAAAAAAAAAAAAAGGTTGAGAAACCCTGGGCTAGATGGACCTATGGGCTGACTCAGTCTGTCTATTCTTATGAACATTAGTTCTTAAACCACCAGGTTTCTTCACACTACAGTAAATACTCAACTGCAAATATGAACTGTTTTTCCCCATTTGGCCTCTGCACAATAATAAGGGTTTCATTAGCCCTGCAGTGAGCATGGTCTCTCTGCTTCTCCAGGAGTGACGCAGTGCCACTAGTGGATGCTTTTGACTTCACTGATGAAAATTTAAATTCTGCACTTGGGAGTTACGACGGTCACGTCTACCAGCGGCTTTACGAGTGGGCTCAGAAGTCACCAACCAACCAACAGGTAAGGGACAGTGAACTACAAACTACTGGCACCTTTACAATAGCCTAGACCCACATTATTTTGACCTATAATATTGAAGGCTGATGGTCTTCTAAAGCCAAAAGGTAAAAATCACAATATGTTCCTTGGAATGGAGTACAGCCGGTCTCTGACTTACAACCACCTTCACTTATGACCATCCGCACTTATGACCAAAGCGGTCGTAAATGAGGTCCCCGAGTTACGAACGCGATCTGCGTTTACGAACAGTGCGGTCGCCTGTAACTCAACGGGATCCGAGTTACGAACGCTTCGAGTTACAGCCAAGTGTTTGGTCCGTAACTCGGGGACCGGCTATATTCAATTGTGCCAGCTACACTCACGGCTCAGAATCTGAGGGTTTAATGACTGAGACCCTGCTCTAGCAATCAACTCCATGGAGATGGACCTCAACAGACATGAACGGGACACCCCACATCCCTCGATAAGGAGTTACTCAAGGTTAGGGATGTTAAATATCATTAATTGAATAGTCAATTAACCTCTTGAATTCTTATCCGTTACTCGACTATTCTATAGTCCTTGGGTGTGGGGGTGGGGCTGGCAGCCAGTGCACTTGAACCCACTCCTGAGGAGCCCTCTGCCACTCCACGCTGCTTCCTCTGTATCAGAGGCAGCAACATGGGTTGCCAGGCAGGAGCTGGCCCGTGAGGAGAGTCCGTTTAAAAACCAGCTCCTCTTGTGTACCAGCTGCCTGTTGCCCTGTGCTGCTGCCTCTGATACAGAGGCAGCAGTGCGGGGTGGGAGGCTGAGCTTCCAGACCCAGCGCAAACCGGAACTGAGCTGGGCTACCTGTCTGCCCATCCAGCTCCTAATACTCTTCAAATGCAGAACCGCAGCAGGGGTAAGTCCCGGACTTGGTGCAAACTGGGACTGAGTCGGGCTGCTGGCCAGCCTGCTATAAAATTTACTGGCAAAGGTGGGGGAAATGTGTGTAGTCTACAGCATTAATGGATCAGCTTTTGTTTATTGGTTAATCGACTACACTATCACATCCTTAACTCAAGCAGGCCATCAGACCCTTGTCTGCTCTCGTTCCATGTGCAAAACAGCCAGTAAGAAACAGGATTTGGTTCTGGCGCAGTAATCAGAACCTTGTAAGTCTAGCCCTGCACTTGAGTTGTGTATTCCGTGAAGTCAGTGCTTGCAGAAGACACTGACCTACAATTGCTGGAGCCTGAAATTTTTATCCATGGAACAGGTACAACATAGTAGCACTGCTGCAAGATTCTCTGTACTGTTGTGCCAATCTGCCCTCTGTTCTGAAGTGAATGCCCTGTAAGGGGGAGAGAGTTTGCTTAGGCCCTTTTATTCCTCGGCAGTTTCAGGAGAGGCCTGCTAGTACCATTTAAATGCTGACGAATGAGCCCTGCTGCCCAGCTGCAACAAGACTACCCTGAAACCCATCTGACGGTCTTCCAGTCATTAGTGACCTGAACTAGAACAGGCAATATAGAGGTCCTGTGCTCCATCTCCTGTTACCAGTAGCCTGAGTTTCCCAGTCCTCAGTCTGGAACATGAACAAAACCTATACGTGTACAAGCTAACAACATGGACGATGATAGTTACACAGCCTGTATTAACAGGCTGCATATTCACAGATACGGAGTGATAAATGTTCACACAGTAATGGGTATAAGTTTTAAATAACATACCCTCCCCCTCTCCTTTCCATGCACTGTATTTTCAGCACGTTGCCTTCATTTCTAACATCACCATAAGGGTGAATTAACTTCATTGTTTACGCTAGTTTGGGTTTTCTTGCTTAAACTAAAAACACAGCCCAGCTGCTTAAACAAGGGTTTTACCTTAGCACTTTTCTCAACAAACCAAGCACAACCAACACATTTTACAAACAAATGTACAATTTGAAGTTTGCCTTCAGTGAATATTCAAGTTAAAAATGCTTTCTGAAATTAAATGCTATGCATTCTCATTTGGGTATGCAGCACTTTATATTAACAACGTACAGGAGCCCAGATACTGGACTGGGGGGCGTTACATACTACTGTAGCATGTTTGGCTTCTTTTTTTAATTTATATTTCAATGATCACGCTGAATTACTGAGAAATCGTTGTGTTTCCCTTCCTACACTCTCCCTCTTCCACAGGTGAGCCAGGCCTATGAAAGTTACCTGAAGCCACTTTTTCAGGGGGCTCTATCAAAACTATGAAGATTAACAGCTGCTTGGGACACAGAACATTTTCTTTGGTTCAGTGTATGGTTCACAAGCTGGCACGCTGCCAGTGTTTTATAAATAATCATAGAGCGACACTGAACAGCTGACTGTGTTGTCTGCAAACATCAACTGGAATTCTTAGTCATTTACATTTAAGAATGGAAGGGAGCCAGAAAGCTCTTTCAGCTATGTCCACATCACGTAGAGCAGTGTTTCTTAAACTTTTTAAGATGGAGGAACACCAAACAATAATTTGTTGAGTGGTGAAAAATAAGAGACCGCGGAAAAGTTATTGAGCAAAATAAATAAATAAATAAATAAATAATTGAGGGGAAGTTATTGAGGGGGGAAAAAAACTCGCCTGTCCCTTTCAAGGTAGCCATTTTGAACTCAGTTCTCCGCGGCACACCTCCAACTGCCTCACGGCAAACCGCTGTGCCACGGAACAGTTTAAGAAAAACTGCTGTAGAGTGCCGTATTAGGAATTCACTTTTTTTTTTTTAAATTATATGTTCGAAGTAGCAGCACAAGCTGCTGTATTTTGGCAGTTTGATACTCAATTTTTTTTTTTTTTTTTTACATTAAGGTTAAAAATAATTACTTTCTTGCTGCCCTGGACATAAGTTTGTGGAGCCCATAAAATGCTTTACCACCAAATCAAGAAACTTAACAAAACTAATGTAAAGTCACAGCCATAGATTCTAAAACCAGCTGCTTAGATTAAGAGCTCTATTAAAATGCAAGCCCTTTGGGGAAGGGAACAGAATTCCTTCTTGTATCTTGCTGATCAGTGAGCACTCTCTGCACTTAAATAATCAGTCAAAACTCACACTGACTATGCCAGCTTCAACTTGTGGAAATGATCTATTATGATGTGAGCTGCTGATGCCCTGTCTGTAAACTTCAGCCTCCAATTGTGGTGTGCGATTTAAGGTTTGCTTATTAAATGGGTCTGTGTTTATGAAGTAAAAAGCACGTATCTTCTATTCAGTGATTAAAGCCAAACATTACCTTGCAAAGAAATGAAGAATGTTGTTAAGTACTTATTTGTAGGATTTTTCTTGTAGTATTGCAAATGAAAACTATTGACTGGGATCATATATTGGGTCTTACTTGGCAAGAAACAAGCAGCTTGCCGGGACTTCCTCAGTTAAACACAATAGCAGCCTTTTCCTACTTGAATAAAATACAATAAAAAACCACTTAATGTTAAAAGACAAGATAAAAGCCCCTGAGTGCCTACAGAAAGGGAGGTGAAAACACGGCAGAGGAAAAGCATGACCCTGAGAAAGATCTCCGCAGTCAGAGACGTGTGAGCGAGCCCATCTATGTGACCAGCACACGCCCATTGCCAGTTTCATCAACTCTAAAGGTCTATGTGCACTGCACTAAAACGCTGTGACTGCCCCATGTCAGCTGACTCAGGCGAATGGGGCTAGACCAGGGGTCAGCAAGCCGGCTCATGTGCCATGAACTCAGCCCTCCTCCCCTGCACTGCTGCTGGAGCCCTTCCTCTTCCTCAGCAGCAGGTTTGAGGGGGAGGTGGCTAGGACTGAGGCTCCTCAGCAGCGCAGGGCCCCCCCCACAGCTGCTACCGGTCCCCCAGAAGAACCTGTGACCAGAAAGACTCACGCTGGCCCGTCCCCCTTCATGCTGGCGGGGGTCACGTGGTGGGGCAGCTGCAATGGCCCAAGCCCAGCCGGAACTGGGAGCGCCCCTGGCTCAGGTAGGTCCAGCTCATCTCACCCCCAGGTCAGCTCTGGTCCCCGAGCCCCGCCCCTCATAGTACCCGCCCTCCCTCCCCCCGCAACCTGGGCTTGCCTCCCTTCCCCCTGCCTGACCTGGGTGTCACCTGCAGGCAGCTGCTGCGTGGGCAGGGTCACAGTGCTGCTGGGCTGAGGGGGACCCAGACCGCATAACCCAGGCTCATGCCCTGCCTCACCTGCACAGTGCTGTCCCCAGGGCCTGTGGGACCAAGCCCACCTCACCCCCCTGCCCAGACCTGCGCTCCAAGTACGCAAGTGGCACTGGTGCCTCCTCACAGTGCGCCTGTCGTAAGGGGGCTGCTTTCCTGGGGGGGAGGGGGAAGAGTCATCAGAAAAATGCAAGGCAGTGGTAACCCCCACACTGGGGTGCATCAGGCTGGACACCCTGGTACGTGCCCTGAGAAGTACCAGCCCCTGAAGGAGGTTCAGCAAGATCCTAGCTCTAGCTCCAGCTTGCTTCATCTCTCTAAGTTCCACCTTCTGCTGCTCTCACGCAAAGATTCTCAGAACTGGAGATCTCTGAGCACTTCTCTGTGATTTCTCTTGGACCACATGGCTGTGGCAGCGGCTCCTCCAGGGCCAGCCAGGGACCTCATGGCCATGGCCGTGGCTGCAAGGGGGTGCAAAGCCAGGTAAGCATCGCCCCCTACATCCAAACCCCCACGCCCCAATTCCCTCACTCCCTTCCAAAACCCTGCACCCCTAGCTTGCTCTGACACCCTCCCTTGCTCCGGCTTCCTCCACCTGGCCAGTCACCCTACTCCCAGCCTGCTACTGCACCCCACCTCCATCCCAGATCCTGCACCCCATTCCTATCCCACTCGCTGGCAGCCCTCTCTCACTCTGAGCCCCTCATTTTTGTTCCTACCCCAGAGCCTAAGGGGGTCCATAAAATCCACTAACTGGCACCCCAGAGAAGTCAATTTGGTCTATGGGAAATCCTGAAGCTCAGTCCTCCCTGTTCCTTCCCCTTTCCCCGTGAGGCTGGAGCACCAGAAGAGCGAGGTGTCACATCAGTGAAGGTTGGGGGTTCTTGGAGGATTTTTTTTGCTTCTCACTTGTGGGGTCCCCAGCTGATTTTTCTGTGGGTCACTGACCCTGATCCAAGAAAAGTTCCTCACCCCTGCCTAAATAAAGAGAAGATTGAAACTTTATGTGTTGGACATAATATTTTTACTTTATTTAAAATGAAGTTTGATAAACTAACATGAGAAAGTTAAAACACTTCATCTGTTTAGTAATTTAAAGTGTCCTCCCTTGCTGCAGCTGGTTCAGAAAATATGGTCACCATACCCAGCCTGTCCTTGTGCCCCCTCCCCCCAGCACACACCTCTGTGAATAAGTTCAATCTTGGCATGCCACTTTTGAAAAGTTGTCAATCCCTGGCTTAGTCCTTTAGGCTGATCCTGCAACCCGGGCTCCCTTCCTTTGCATGGTCCCAGAGCCCAAGCATGGAAAGTTACATTGCAATTTTGAAGGTAATATAGCCAGCACTGAATCAGCTGACATGGGCCACCTAAGGTGTTTTACTGCAGCGCAGACTTAAGCAGCTTTTTGGTTGGGCTTAAGGTAAGCAAGGTTGCAAAGCCCAGGCTTTCTCTGACCATACCTGGGATGCAGGAGTCCATACTGGACAGATCAGTCAGACCAGGTGACTAGGAAGTGTGTGTACCTAGAGATGATTGTGAAGGATTTAAAGCAGACAAACATGACCTAGAAAGAGGATTAAGCAGAATTGCACTGGCCTAGTCACTCAAAGCAGATAGAAAATAATGAAATAAACTTTGTAACTTTGATTCCTGTTTGGAGCATCTCTTTATGGATAATTCCACAGAATGCATAAAAGAGGTAGGAGAAAAGTCTAGGGAGATGGTGGACAAGAATGCAGAACTAGAGTCCCTTTGAATTCAACAAATGCAGCTCTGTGCAAGATGAAGAGAGCTAAGACATGTTGGCAATGCATATGATGAATACTCTGAATGTAGATAACATTCCCACCAGTTATAGCTATTCAGACTATAGATGCATCCTGGATTAGCGTCCTTCAACTGACATTAATCCTTTAGTTAAAATATAGACTCCCCTTTAATTTTCAATATGGAAATTATTTCTATGGAAATGTGATACAAGGTCTACTAAATTGAATGAGCTTGTGTGTGTGTGTGTGTGTGCATACACACCAGAATAGGGAAAGTAGTAGCCTAAACAGTTTCACTATCCTGTATTGATATACCTTACCCCCTTTTTTCCTAGAATAAATTAGTAGGAGATAAAAAATACAAGCTTTATTTCCATATTTTACATGTTTATTAGCTTTTTGCTGGCAGGCATTACACTTGGGAATAATATTGCACTAGGCATTAAAAGTATGAATTCTACCTCTGGATATTTTGCATTCAGAATCCAGTATAAATGTTTCTAATCACATTTTCATGGCTACAGATAATATTTGGTTGCTTGATTTATATGCATAGAAAAACAGTTGTCATAACTGTAAAAAGCTGTACTTAAATACTTTAAAAGGGTAGGATTTGTTTTCCTAAAATATTACAATACTGTTTATTGGATTTAGAAACTAGATTAGTTTACATGATGCTCGCATTTCCCTCATCTGCAGCTTAAATCCTGTTTGTTCTTTACTCCCAGTGTTCTAACAGTAAATGAATTAGAGACCATTTAAATAGGTGAATTTAGCACTTGAGATTGAAAGAGCTGACACAAAGCGTCCTACCGTACTGATTTTTAAGACTCCTCCTTAAAAAAAGTATCTTGACAGTGTGAACAGGCACATGCATATCTTTTTCTGGACAAGACAAAAACAGCTGCTAGAGCACGTAACGTCTCCAGTCCTTAATGGTTATTAATAAATAGTCATATAAAAAGCCCATGCTGCTGCTTCAGTCACAATTAGATTCTCTCCGGTATGCTGTTCCAGGAAGTTGCGTGTAACCTCTGAAATGGCATCTGTGGAACCATGCATCAGTCATCCGTTTTCCGTGCCAGTCTACAGAAAGTCCAGTTGTGCTCCACTGTATTTTCATTGGCCCGCTCGCTCATATGGTGAACTCTTGTATTTCTGATCGCAAAACCTTGTTTTGTAATGTATTCCATCAGATGGACTCTGAGGGAAACTTCTTGGTGGTAATCACATGGCCCAAAAGTAAAGGAAACCTGGCAGTCTCTTGTGTCCATCATGTGCTTATTCCACTTGGTAAAGTGATTTGAAATGCCTTCCAGTAACGAATGGACCTTAGTTGTGATGGTTAACTGTGTTATAATTACTGCCACTGGATTGGAATATTTGGAAAGTTTCCGTGTGCTGGACAGCTCTACTACTTCTTCAAAGGTATCCACAGGATACAAAGGCTTGGGGTCATTAAGACACTGAATGAGTGGTTCAATTTGATAAAAATCTGCTTCTTTTCGAAGCAAGTCAAATTCCTTGAAGTCTAATGGCAAAGTCAACTCTGAAGTCCTTAAAAAGTTAAGAACATACCGGAAAAGAGGTCCATCTCGGTCAATGAAGTAATTGCCCTGAGAGTCCCTGGCAGTGGGGAAGTCTCCCCCGAACATGGCCCCAAGCATTGAATCGGGATATCTTGTGAGAGTGGTGAGGGATGTCGTATACAAGTGTCCACCTACATTTAGTGTGACTGGTTCAGTCATCTAGAAGAAAGAAATGCCACAGTTTATCGAACTACCAAGAGAGATTTTTCATCAACACATGGCGGTTGCTGTTAGAAAGTTGCTACTGTTCAGTTTGAAACCTACCAACGGTGTTATATGGGAATAATTTCAAGAAACTTTGCCATAATCCACACCTGGCAACTCAGCAGAATACTTACATTTAGAAAGCATATCCTCAGAGTGTTTTACAAGTATTAACTAAAACCCATAGCTCAGGGTCAAATAACCATTTCATGCTCTAAAAGTAAATACTTTCTCCATTTTACAGATTAAGAGACTGATGCACAGTGTATGCGATTTCCCCAAGGCCATACAATGAGTCCGAATTTCACCTTTGGCTCCTTGCTTTTACAGTATGTCTTTTACTCGAGAAGGAACTAGCTGTGCGGGTACAAAACATCTTTCCAGGAAAAAAATGAAGTGACATAATGCAATTTTAGATCTCAAAACTAGAGCTTTCATTCAGAGGTGCAGCTCAGGCCATCATAAAGAAAACTATCAGAAAAACCATATGCTGTGCAAAGGAAGGGCCAGAATAATAGAGCTAGCCTGCAGCTACAGCATCCACATCACACCTACAAAGGCAGGGGAGAAAAAAAGATACTGTACCATCCTGGCCACTGATTCTGACAATTGGAGCAGAAGGCCAGACAGACAGGCAAACAGAAAGGAACAGGATATTTAGAGAGAGAGGAGAGAAGGAAAAATAAGACATGTAAGTATAGTTTTGTTAGTAAAGATGGCGTTTAGATGGTGTTTAATCAACAAGAATATTTTTCAAAATAAAATGACAGCAAACTAATTAAAGGAGCAGAAAGGGAAACTTTTTCTTTCAACTTTGTATACCAGAAACATGGCTTTCCAGTCCATCATCAAACTGTATGTTTTAGGAGAAATGTAGCCCTCTTCTTGATGTTGTGATAAATAATTACTATTCTTTGGCTAAAGATTAAGAACGTGAACTATACCAACACACAATACGGAATGGAACACTTATTAGAAACAACCTCCTATTTGCTTATACTATTTTTACTAGGTTCATTTTCTTCACTCAGCATTAAACCCAAAAAATATACACAAGGCCAAGAGATTCAGGGAGACCTCATAAAAATCTGGAAAGCTCAATCCTGTTGTTCAGCATGCACTCATCTTTTTATTGGATCACTTACCATATATCCCCAGTCTCCATTATCCATCTGTTCTGTTGCTTGATCTATGGCAGTCTGAATTTAACTGAAGGATGCTAGGAGGACCGACAAATCACCTTCTATTCCTTCCTGCAGATTGAAAAAAAAAGGTATAGCAGACTGTAAGCACTTAAAAGAACAAGAAGAGAGCAGAATATATCCAATTGAAGATAGACTTGCGCCATAAACCTGTCACTTGCATTCAACTACAAAGCCACTTCAGGACAGGCATCTACAGAGAAGAATGTACCTATACGATCTTCCAGCATATCCTTCACCCTCGGATTGCTGTCTCTAGGAGCAACTGGCCATCATTTTGTAGGCTGTCCTAACATTCCAGTTTTGTTAAACAATGAATGTGTCTTTGACGATGATTTATACTCTTCACTTGGGCAAAGGAGGTATTCTTTAATAAGTAGCCCCAGCTACTGAAATCAAACCCCTGCATTAACCCCCTGCTGAGAGGGACTTTCAGCTATAAGATAGATGTAGATATATCTAATTATGTCAGTGGTATTATGAGCCATTCTGCACAAAATTGTACAGAAACACATATACATGAGGAACGAGGAGTCCTGTGGCACCTTATAGACTAACTGAAGTGTAGGAGCATAAGCTTTCGTGGCAAAGGCCCACTTCGTCAGATGCATGTGACGAAGTGGGTCTTTGCCCACGAAAGCTTATGCTCCTACACTTCAGTTAGTCTATAAGGTGCCACAGGACTCCTCGTCGCTTTTGCAGATTCAGACTAACACGGCTACCCCTCTGATACATATACATGAGGCATCACTGTGTTTAAAAAACAGTGAGATTTTCACTGGAGTTAACACTTCATTAGAGCGGACTGCAATTTGGCTGCAAGAGTGAGAACCACAAAGTGTGAAACCAGAGCCCAAGCTGATTTCACAGCTGCCACAGAAACTTGCACAGCAGTTTCCTTTTCAGTGCAGTTTTATAAAGAAATCAGAACTACATTTTCCACAACATTACAGCAAGAATGTTTTGAAAAAAGTTTTAACCACAGTTTTCTAAAAGAGAGCCTAAACAGCATTCATTCACACTGCAGACTCTCCTGCCCCCCCACACACACTCCAAAAAAATGATGATGTGAAAGCCCAGGGCTTGGTTTATGCAAGAGATCCCTTCTGGTCTTTAAAAAAAAAAATCTGTGGCTCTATACAGAAGTTTGGTACAAAAATAATTCTGTGAGTTTTTTTTTTTAAATACATCCAGGCGTGTTTTACAAGTCAGGCTGTGCAAATGAAATCACAAAGTTTCAGCCAGGACAAACTCAGACCAAAACAGATCTGATCTTCTCTTTAGTCCCTCGCAAACAGGGTGTCCACATCGCCCACTTCAGAAGAATGTGGCAAAGTTCAATGCTTTTTGCTCACAATAAGCCCAGAAGCAGAGCACAATGGCTCTCTCTCAAAAGGTCAGCCAGGCACTTTGAGAACTGTGATATAGCCACAGCCAGCACTATCGCTCAGAATTAAACAACTCTAGTGTCCAATCCGGCATCTTTTGCAAATTACAAAAAAGCAAACTAGTTAAATATGACTAATCACATCAGAGTCCCATATTTACAAAGTGCAGGTGGAGAACACCTAAAGGCAGGGTAGTAAATGAATGCTAACATAAAGATGGAACAAACTTAGAACACCAGCTCAACTGCCAGATGCTAAAATTCATTTTATCAACAGTAAAGGAATTTGTAATCAAGAAAACAAGCTTTTGCAGCTTTTAAGAACCTCTAACCTGAGAGAAAGAGCAGGGATGATTTCTGATAAAATCTCCGTAACACAGGAAAGGAGCAAATCTTAGACTAGAGGCAACAGTGAACATCAAGGAAAGGAGGCTACTTAAATTCCACAGCAAACAATGGGAAAAAAAGATCCCCTGGCCCAAAGCAGGCAGAAAGCAGCACTAATACTTTAAAAAAGGAAGAAGATAGTAGGTGCTCACCTAAGAGATGTTCTTTTACAAATTTTCATTATGTAACTGATACTAGTCAACTGCAACCTTCCAATCCAATAAATCAAACAAAAGCTGCCCTTTTGAGTGATCATAAAGGGAAAGAAAGAGATTACATCCTCCTGCCTGCACTATGGCAAAAGGCTTCACTTGATCACAGCACAGCTATGTAACACCAAGGTGAATAATTTATGAAGGCAATTAGCTCAGACAAGCACATGTGCTAATAAATAAATAAATGAAAAGCCATCCAATAAGCCACACTGATTTTGTGTAGCATTTGAAAGTCACTGGACATACAGAAATCAGCATAAGCAAGGAATGTTAAAGTGAGCAGCACATCAGAAATACTTGCTTGATAACAGCATTAAACCTCATCACATTGCAAGTTAAAATGCCATATGCTTCTGAAACCATTAACTTTCCTCATCAACATTAGTCTGGACATTTCTTGGTTCATCTTTTAAACAACTCTGTGTATAGTGATTATTTATTCTGGTCAAGTTCAATTCACATATAATGAATATTTAGAGGCAGACTAGAATGGAGAGGGAAGCCTTTGACAGTTCTGCCTTTCAACCAATTCACTGAATTATTTTAGTTAAAGGAATTTAACTACAGAATCTTAAAATAACTTATCTGCAACTAAAGAGAATGAATGCTCTCTTGGGTTAAAAAAAATCAGCAAGCTAGCAGAAGACTCCATTTAAATCATATTTAGCCCACAGTCATGCTAGCCCTTTGCTCAGGGTGAATTTACCTCACTCTGTGCTGAACACTGACCACAATTTTTTTTTTTTTTAAAAAAAAGAATAATTGAGTACCATCATTTTGAAGCTGATTTTAGGGCATCTGTCCTTTTTGGACAAGATACTCAGCACTAGAACAGTTAAGCACACTTGCCATTTCATTGCAGCAATGGCAAAAACACAAAAAACCCACTAGTAGAAAGCAAATAGCTCATTACAAGTGGCCACTTGATGATGATCAATGATCTCATTTCTATGAGATCATTCTGTAAATGTTGTTTAATATTTCATGACTCTGAAGATCTACTATGCTACCTTATTAACAGGCACACTGCTTATTACAATCACTAGTCCCATTACTTCAATGGACCTTTGAGGAGAGGAGCTGCACAAATCGTAGTCAGAGCCATCTGAGCAATCTCATCTGCACCATCCACACTTTGGATGAAAGTCCAAGCCAGACTGGTAAAGTTCTGACTCAGAGAGGTTCTCAAGCTTTTTCACTTGTGTGGGGACCACATTTTAGAAGAGAGCATCCTCTGCTCCAACCTTACCCCAATCATACAATGTTAGCTAAAAATAAGAAAAGCTTTCCTATCTTTTCCTGCAATTCAGCAGCTAGACTAGAGGGCAGCCAGCACCATATGACGTGCCAGCTGTCTGCAGACCAACTGTCCCCAGACAATTGCTTTGGAGCCTACAGCTTAATCATTTCTCTCCTGTAAATCACTCCCACTTCCAGTCTTTGATCATTTCTTCAGTAACAAAATATTAATCATGGCTGTGTGACTTCAATAGGTATCTTGGCTTTCTAGATCATTCAAGAATTTACAGACATCCTAAAGACAATGGTTTAAAAATCAAAGGTTGCAAAGCTAGCATTCCTACTACACAGTTAAATACAATTTGCTATTCAGGCTGCTTCCAGAGAGCTACTTAAGATAGATCACAGTGTCTGGCATTCAGACATATATTAATGAAACAAATGTCCTAGCTTCAAGTATAGGTAGTTACATAGAAAATGGATGGAAGAAATTTAAGGGAGTCACTGGAGGTAAAAGAAACAAAGCTGGCACAAGAAGCAGCTGCATTTGAAAGTATGATGGAAATCATAGCATGACACTATCCTTAGTATTGATTGATTGAGTTTTTCCTTAATACAACTCTCTTCATGGGTTGTAACCTGGCTGTTTTATCTCACTCCACAATGAATCATGGTTTATACATTTCCAGAATCATCATCTTTTCTAAAATAGGTTACACACAATAAATATTTCTCTTCGTCGCTATTTAACTTTTAAAAATAAAACAAAATTCACACAACCGGTGGCCTTGATGTTTTCACCTTTGCATGCTCAGTTGCTTTATTAGAATTTACAACACCCTCAACTCTTGAGAGGGGAGAGCTGTATAAAACAATTTTTGAAAAAAATCCTTAGTTCTGATCTTTTCTGTTAACCATACAATTTTCCGCCTTGAAAGGTGTCATTAGAAGCAGCTTTGGAGCAAACTGATAAACAGTAGTAAGTCACCAGAACCACAAGGCATTTGCCCAAGAGTCTGAATGTGAAACTGCAGCACTACTCCGTGGGTTGTGCCCTCGCCTTTACATCGGGGGGGTCAAACTTTTTTCTCATGACCCCGGTGAAGAAAATTGTTGCTGCCTGTGACCCAACACAAGGGGACGGGAGTGGGGCTCCTAGCTCCAAACTGATAAACAGTAGTAAGTCACCAGAACCACAAGGCATTTGCCCAAGAGTCTGAATGTGAAACTGCAGCACTACTCCGTGGGTTGTGCCCTCGCCTTTACATCGGGGGGGTCAAACTTTTTTCTCATGACCCCGGTGAAGAAAATTGTTGCTGCCTGTGACCCAACACAAGGGGACGGGAGTGGGGCTCCTAGCTCAGATGAGGTTTGGGGGGTAGGAGCGGGATCCGGCTGGG